AATTTCCCTCTGGGATTATTAAAGTATTTCTGATTCTGATTCTGATTGATGTGGTCTGAGCCTCATGGATTTGTCTCGCAGTGGCAGATAAGGTGGCCTTCCTCATGGGGCTGAACTCGGCCGACCTCCTGAAAGGCCTTTGCTACCCCCGAGTGAAAGTGGGGAACGAATACGTCACCAAGGGCCAGACGGTCCCACAGGTACCTGAACAGGATCCCGCTCCCATCCCGATTTCCCCAGGTGTCGGTCTGCTTTACATATACAGGACTGTCTCAGAAAATTAGAATATGGTGATAAAGTTCTTTATTTTTTGTAATGCAATTAAAAATCAAGAAATGTCATACATTCTGGATTCATTACAAATCAACTGAAATATCGCAACCCTTTTATTGTTTTAATATAGATGATTATGGCGTACAGCTGAAGAAAACTCAAAAATCCGATATTCTAATATTTTGAGATAGGATATTTGGGTTTTCTTAAGCTGTGAGCCATAATCAGCGATGTTAAAACAACACTTACAAAGAATGCAACGATCTATAACTTTAATCATATGTACATTCTAACAGTGAAAGACAGAATCCCAAAGAAAATCATATGAATTTATAAAAATTGATAACCATCTGATGAGGAAAAATAAGCATTCTTTGTAAGTGGGCAAACCTGCAAAATCAGCAAGGGGTCAAGATTATGGCGTACAGCTGAAGAAAACAAAAAAATCAGATATTCTAATATTTTGAGATAGGATATTTGGGTTTTCTTAAGCTGTGAGCCATAATCAGCGATGTTAAAACAATAAAAGGCTTGCGATATTTCAGTTGATTTGTAATGAATCCAGAATGTATGAAATTTCATGTTTTTTAATTGCATTACAGAAAATAAAGAACTTTATCACAATATTCTAATTTTCTGAGACAGTCCTGTAGCTGTTTTTTACTCCACAAGGTGACCAATGCCGTCAGCGCTCTGGCCAAATCCGTGTACGAGAAGATGTTCCTGTGGATGGTCATTCGAATCAACGAGATGCTGGACACAAAGCAGCCCCGGCAGTTTTTCATCGGCGTGCTGGACATTGCTGGATTTGAAATATTCGATGTGAGTTTCCGCTAACAGTCGCCGCTTCCTGTGAAGAAAAAAAACAAAAAATAAAAAGTGGGGTTTTTTTCTCCTCTCAGTTCAACAGCATGGAGCAACTCTGCATCAATTTCACCAACGAGAAGCTGCAGCAGTTTTTCAACCATCACATGTTCGTGCTGGAGCAGGAAGAGTACAAAAAGGAAGGCATCGACTGGGAGTTTATTGACTTCGGTATGGATCTGGCCGCCTGCATAGAGCTCATAGAAAAGGTAAGGTGGACCCACATGTTGTAGTGGCTGGAACATTGTTGTGTTACCATTTATAAGGTCAACTTTAGCTCTACAGCCTCTTTGTCTTCAAACCTAAATAAGGAGGTGTTTCTCTATGGTCCCAGGATCGATTTCTTTTAATTTAATTTGATATCTGGGCCGAAATGGGAAAGAGAGCTTTCGAATAGGGTGCTCCTCATGCTTAGGAAACCTAGTAAAAACACCTAAAGCTCTACAAAATTTAGATGCTTTTCACAGGAGAAGACAGAATCATCTGTATGGTCTTTAATTGAATTAATTTTGGTTTATCTTACTATCTTTTATTTGTTTACCAGTATTGGATCAAATACCCAAGATTCACTGTTTAAATGCGCAAATCTCACTGAAAACTCCTAGATAATCCCATAATACTCTCAACAGCCAATGGGGATCTTCTCCATCCTTGAGGAGGAGTGTATGTTCCCCAAGGCCACAGACACCTCCTTTAAGAACAAGCTCTACGACCAGCATCTTGGGAAAAACAGCGCCTTCCAAAAGCCGAAGGTGGTCAAAGGCAAGCCTGAGGCTCATTTCTCCCTGGTGCACTACGCGGGAACAGTGGACTACAACATCACCGGCTGGCTGGAGAAGAACAAAGACCCGCTCAACGAATCGGTGGTGCAGCTCTACCAGAAGTCGTCCATGAAACTGCTGGCCTTCCTGTACGCCTCGTTTGCTGGTGGAGAAGGTGGGAAGTCTGCAGAGTGTGGAGCGACTGGAGGGGTTTAAACCTGCTGCAAGTCCCAGCTCATGCTTGTTTTTCCTTTATTTAGAGTCAGGTGGGGAGGCTGCAGGTGGAAAAGGTGGAAAGAAAGGAGGAAAGAAAAAGGGGGGGTCGTTTCAGACGGTGTCGGCTGTTTTCAGGGTAGGAAAAGTCAAGTTTTGCGAGCCCACAGGCTCCAAACCAGCCTAAGGGGAGAGCCTCACATTTGTTTTCGGTTATAAGTGCGTCTACATGGAGCAAAATGCCAGTTCAAAACAAAAAATTCTCAAAAATGTTTTCTGGAAAATTAAGAAAAAACTCTGAACAAACTGGTTTCAAATTCAGTACAGCTGATTGTAAATTGGCACGAGTGTTAATAGAAATTAATCGGTTTGTAGTCGGATTATTGAGGGTTAAAATGGGTGCTTGCTCTTTGGCAGGAAAATCTGGGAAAGCTGATGACCAACCTGAGGTGCACGCATCCACACTTTGTGCGGTGCCTGATTCCCAACGAGGTCAAAACACCAGGTGACCACCAAAGCCAAAGCTGCTTCAGGCCCTGCAGAACAGACGCTCCTCGGTCTGACTCCGGGTCGTTTCGGTCCCTCTAACGGCAGGTATCATGGACAACCACCTGGTTATCCACCAGTTGCGCTGCAACGGGGTGCTGGAGGGCATCAGGATCTGCAGGAAGGGGTTCCCCAGCAGGATCCTCTACGCTGACTTCAAGCAGAGGTAAACTTAGACTTAGACTTAGACTTAGACTTAGACAGTACTTTATTGATCCCTTTGGAAGACTCCCTCAGGAAATTAAGGTTACCAGCAGCTTAAAGGGCAAAAAGTATTAAGTTAGAATTAAATTAAGCAAAAAATAAATAAATAAATAAATAAAAATACAAAAAATATAGATTAAGTACAGTGTTTGTAATATCTCTTCCCCCTGTCCTGTGTCACCTCCTCGCCCCCAGTGAGGCGTTGTACAGTTTGATGGCGTGGGGGACAAAAGAGTTCTCAAGTCTATTGGTCTCCTGGAAGAAGAAATCTCACAAAGCTGCCGATGTGAATCTGTGTGGCCATCCCAGGCTGTGATTTCCTAACTCTGTCCCAACCAGGTACAGAATCCTGAATGCGAGTGCCATCCCAGAGGGACAGTTCATCGATGGAAAGAAGGCCTCCGAGAAGCTGCTGGGTTCCATTGACGTCGACCACACACAGTACCGTTTTGGCTCCACAAAGGTGAGTCCAAATCCTGAACGAAAAACCACTAATGACGTTAATCAGGGGCTTTGTTGTTTATTCATCTCAATTAGACTCGTTTATATCAAATAGCTCTATTTTATCAGAATCAGAATCAGAATCAGAAATACTTTAATAATCCCAGAGGGAAATTATTTTATGTAAAAAGTCTTAGTTTGAAAAATAAATCAAATCAATGCTGTTTGACGACTGAATCAGCAGATAGATATTTAAGGCTTAGGCCATCCTATTTTCTTCCCCCCCTCTCAATAAAAAGGGTTCGTAAAGCTACTGAAAGTTCATAACCTTAAATATTTTGCATTTATTTGCAATGCACTGCACATAAAAGGATGTTCCACCTGTTTAAATTAATTTAAAAAAGGTGTTTTTATCTCACATTAAAGAGAATTTCTACGCTAAACTACAGCTTTTTTCTACAACTTTCCACCGAACAAGTCATCCATCTCTAGTTTCCAACTTTATCTGCCCGGAAGACCCTCCAGTCTTTCTGGGCTTCTTATTCATGGTTGGAAATGAACTTTAGAGCTGGTTTAAACGTGTTTTGACCCGGTCGTTTCAGGTTTTCTTCAAAGCGGGCCTTCTCGGCACGCTGGAGGAGCTGCGAGACGAGAAACTGGCCTCTCTGGTGACTCAGACTCAGGCTCTGTGCCGCGGCTACGTGACCAGGAAAGAGCTTTCCAAGGTGGCCGCGCGAAGGTGAGAGGCCGCCGAAAGCCCTCCGAGGGATGAAACACAAACCGAGTGGTTCCTCTTTCAGGGAGAGCATCTGGACTCTGCAGTACAACCTGCGCTCCTTCATGAACGTGAAGCACTGGCCGTGGATGAAGCTGTTCTTTAAGATCAAGCCCCTTCTGAAGAGCGCCGAAACCGAGAAGGAGATGGCCACCATGAAGGAGGACTTCGTCAAATGCAAAGACGATCTGGTGAAGGCGGACGCCAGGAGGAAGGATCTGGAGGAGAAAATGGTCTCCCTGCTTCAGGAGAAAAACAACCTCCTCCTGCAAGTCCAGGCTGTGCGTATGAACGAAAGAAAACCTCACGGCCATTGAAAGTGTGCGGCTGTTTTCATTAGTGATGAAAACCGTCCGAACCGTTGGGTTGGACTGTCTCGGTTCGGTTTGCGTGTGTTGCGTTCGGTTCATGCTGCTCCTTTTTCTCAGAGGGAAGCGTTTACACTCCAGAGCAGAAGGGGGCGCTACTGCGCCCAAAGCCAACCACCAGTAGGAAACAAGAAGAAGAAACGAAGCAGTGTAGCCGATAATAAAAATCCGACGCGCCAACAGCAGTTTTCTAGGTCTGCTGTATGGGACCAGTTTGCATTTAGAGGGAAGCACGTGTTGGAATTAGCACTGTTTCCTCTCTGGCAATGCCAGAATCTCACCTACTTTTAACCTAACACTGTCACAATAATGTATCAAATGTCAGACTACTTTCTTCTTTCAGTTTTAACCTTACTATACAAAACATAATAGATTTTCCTAACAATCAACATATACCGAACTGAACCGAAAACCGTGACCACGAAACCGTGAATCGAACCGAACCGTGGATTTTGTGAACCGTCCCACCCCTAGTTTTCATGCGTCTGAGGTTTGATGCTTTGTCCCAGGACTCGGAGAACCTGTGCGACGCAGAGGAGAGATGCGAGGGTTTGATCAAGAGCAAGATCCAGCTGGAGGCCCGGCTCAAGGAGGTGACCGAGCGGCTGGAGGAGGAGGAGGAGCTCAACGCCGAGCTGACGGCCAAGAAGAGGAAGCTGGAGGACGAGTGCTCCGAGCTGAAGAAAGACATCGACGACCTGGAGATCACGCTGGCAAAAGTGGAAAAGGAGAAACACGCCACTGAAAACAAGGTCTGTGAGGGGAACGGGCACAAGGAAAACCAACCCCTCCACTCCACAGAAGGAGAAATTCTGCCAGGTTATGGCTCTGGTCCCACTTTTTACACATTTAAAAAGCACCGTAAACTGTTTCTCAAAAGTTCCCAG